AAGAAGACCAAAAGTGAAAAATAGAAAAGGAAGAGATCGAAGGGATGTATCACGAATACGACTAACAAACTACCATAGGAAAGTAGAAAAATATTATAATTGTAAAGTAAAACCCACAAACTTGTGCAAAAAGGAGATTGGGTGTCGCGAAAGACAAAAAAAAAAAGAAAGAAAGAAAAAAACAAGAAAAAGAAAGAAAAAGAAGAGAAAAGTTGTCCTAAATTGAGAAGGTGCATTCCTTTGTAAAGAAAATTTGGGAAAACAGAGCTTTCAAGTCCAATTATCCCAATGGAACCTTAGGTCCAAGGACCTAAAATGTTGCACACCTTAAAAGCAAAGATTCATTTTACATTGTTAAGAACCACTTCTAAGTGAAACATAGCTTTAAGAATAAGATCTTGGCTATACACATATTTGCTCATTTCTACGCAACATATAACTTCAGCATCACTTTTAAGTGATCTGAAGCTTTAAACACCAGACATAGTGAAAAGAATATGAACACGCAAAACTATGGAGCTATCCTTAAAGCTTTGAAATCTAGACAAGGTTAGTCAACTCAAAATTTTTAGAAAAACTAACTAGAATATGCTTAAGTAAACTAAAAGCTGTAGGCAAGTTAGGGTGTACATTGTTGACGACCACACTTAAAATTAAAAAACATTATTAAGTGTGAAACATATAAGAAAAGGAGTCACCACTCATCTAAATTATAAAGTGGGACAAGTCACCTAGAACGGGTCTACGTAGAGATTGGGGTTCGGGGGGTTCGGTTAGGAGTGAGGAAGGGCATGCATGCACGCACCTCACAATCCTCCGTTTAAACACGGTTACATACTTTAACATTGGGGTTTTGATTCAACTTATTCATTATCTGTATATTTAGGTCTTAATAAACAAACTTAAAAAAGGATGGACTAGCAACCTTTTTTAAACTTTTGGACTAAAATGACAAAATCAAAGACATGCATGCACCATGAGCACAAATGAAAAATTAAAGGGACTAATTTGTTTAAATTTGAAACATGGAAGACTGATTTGATTAAATTCAAAAAAAAAAATGAAAGACTGATTAAAATAAGTTTGAAACCTTGGGACTGAATTGCTTAATTACAAAAGTTTTGGGTAGAGTTTGAAATAAAAGAGATAATTTTGACTTTGACCAAGATTAAAGGAAATTAAGGATTTAAATTAATTAACAATGATGGTTAACTTAATTAAATGATTAATTTCACATTAATTAAAATTAATTAATCACATTATTAATCTTTAATCAAAATAATTTAAGTAATTATCTTAAATTAAGATCAATAAACATGATTAATTTATTTTAATTAAAGTTAATTAATTTTATTAATCATAAATTAAGTCAATTATCTTAATTAATTAATTAATTTCACTTCATTTTATTTATATCATATTTTTTTACTTTATTTGTTTATTTGTTTTAGTTTTTAAATTTTTTGTACTGGATTAAATCAGATTAACCCGATCCAAAAAAAATGATTCGAGCATAAAATAAATTGAAAGAAGATTAAACATGCAAACAAAGCAGGAAAACTAGGGTTCATCTAATTTAAATAATTTTTCTGCAGAACATACATTCAAATTCAAATCCAGTAAATATCCATTGCATGATAACAAATCTGTCATTCATTTCTCAACATTTTACATGTAGATCTTAGTACTCATCACAAAAATAACACGAGACATCAACAACAATAAAAATCTAAAGTGGAAATTCCAAGAAAGCGGTAGATTTGGCTCCAAACGGAGGAATCCCCCCCACGGGATCAAGCTCCATCCATCACCTTCACCACCCCTCCTAAAATCCCTCAGTTCCAAACACTTACCTAAGGCCAAAAACCCAAAAAATATGAAGTTTCTTCGGCTAAGCTATCTCCAGTTGATCACCCCTTCAATGCTTCCAACAACTACCTATTTCTACCACTGTCGCCAACACAAAAAAAAAAGACCAAAGAACCCCTTTTCTTCTCCACGGAATCTCCCTCTACTGCTCTCGAAAAACTAGATGGAGACTCCCAACACCAAACCAAAAATCAACAAAAGAAAGACCTCCCCCCTAATCTGATTTTACTCTCTATATATATACCCAAATAATAAAATAAAATAAAAAT